CCCCCCCCCCCCCTTCTTTACATTAATCTAATTAATATAGTAAAATCACGGTTTATACCACACTCCCTGTGGGATCGACCCTTGCTCGCCACTACTACTTGTTGGTATGGGTAAGTCGAGGAAAATTTTATAAATATAAATTTGCCGCGTTGCGACGCGCGGTCAATGACACTTGTTACTTGTGCGACTTACTTGTGTTATATTATAGCAATTTTTATAACTTATATCATATCCCCCTTATATATAATTCCCGAATGCGCTGAGCCTACGTGGCTGCTTCTGGTGCTTCGGAATCCTACTTGGCAAATAATCATGCTTCGTAATTAGGTTTGGACAAATAATATTGATATATTAATAGTTAATAATTTAGGTTAAAACATTTCATAAATTTTATTTAGCTAATTTAGGTATTTTAATATCACTTATACTAATATAACCATTTGATTCTTTGTAATTTTACATAATGAGACACTAAGTGACTAATATATCACTGACTTTTGATTTGTTTCCTTCAATTAGCTATTGATTGTAAATGTATTTTAAAAGTTGATAACTTTTGTATTTCTTATCAATTTTACATATATAATATATCAAATTAATCATCTTTTGATGATGTTCGATTTGACATTCATATTGTATATATGAAATAAATAAATGACATTTATCTTTATAATAAAAAAATAATAATATTTATTAAAATGCATTAGAAAAATAAATTTATTTCTCAATTGATATATTTATGTTTAATGTAGTTATATGTTGTAAGTTATAAAAATTATTATAATAACTTAATATATAATAAGATATATATTTTTCATAAAAGGTTTTAAATTTTTAACTATTTTTTCTCATTAGTTTTAGACTTTAAAGAAAAAATTAACAAACACCCGTGTAATACATGGACGTTGTACTAGTAACTACTTGAAATATAAATATATTAAATGATAAATAATTTTATCTTTTTAATTAATATTAAAAAATAATTTTATTATTATTATAAAGTTACATATTATGGGTAGTACCAAGAGGTATTTCTAGACCAAGTGGTCACAAATATGTAACATACGCATGTAATTGGAGTCGAGCATTTTAACCATACAATTTCAAAACGCAAAGAGGTTAATAATTCATAGTGTTGGCAGCTCATTACATCAAAAGAAAAAAAAAAAAAAAAAAAAAAAAAAAAAAAAAAAAAAAAAAGGCCACGTGATATACATATTTATTTTAAGCTGCCATTAATAAGTAATAACACCATTAACCCGCTCCAAATTTACTAACACTCATACAACTTAATATCAACACAAAGCCTGAAGTACACATCGCCCTCGAAAGCATCGGTAGACAGTGTCGCGACCCCACGGGCCATAAGAAATCCCCGGTCCCTCCAATTACCGAAATGTCCCTCATCTTATTCATCATCGTGTCAGCCCCGGCAAAGTTCAGCGTCCCGAAGTACTCGCTCAAGTTGAACACAAACGAGAACCCGAGCCACGCATTGTACGGGTACTTTGTGTCGTAAATGTACGTCCCCTGGGCTCGACCGACCGGTAGCGAGTGGAAGTTGTTGTCTAGGGTTATGGAGTCGTCGAACACGACTACGTCCCCGAAGTTGGCGGGCACCGCCAAGGCTGTCCTGTTGCCCCATTGTGGGGAACCCATGATTGTTGACGTGGCATTTTGGTAATTGTGACCGTTGAAGAGTACGTCGTGGAAATACAAAACGAGGTGGCGGCATGGCGGCGTTGCCGATGCTTGGTGGCGGCGGAGGAGGAAATGATGAGAATGAATAGGCATAGAAGAGGTAAAGAATATGTTTTGCAAGTGGCCATTGTTTACTACTCCCTCTTATTTATTATAAATATCATTTTGAGAAGTTGCACAATTATTAAGAATATTTTTTTGTCAATAATAACCCTCATTAATGATTATAGAGATGAATATTTTGAGAAAAAATAAAAAGTGAATATGAAAAAATATAGTGTATTTATTAGCTAGATGAGAGTAATAATGAAAAAATATACAAAAAATCTAAATCGACATTTTTGTTTATAGTTGATAATACCAAAATAACATTTAAAAAGAATAAGAGATATTACTAATTTTGTAAAGATATATGAGATGGTTAAAATAAATGTTACAAGAAGTGATTTGTGTATTGGGCCCGTTTATATAGTGCCTAGACTAGAGTTTTGGGCATTGGTGAGCATTTTTTTGCCGCGACTCACAACTCAATAATGCTGCACTGCCGAAAAGAGAATAATAACCGCAGGTGGGTGGTTCAACTTAGTCATATTTATCGTGAGGCAAAACTATCTGGCATCTCTGACGGCTAAGGGTCCGGGGAGTTTGCATAGGTTGGAGAGTCCTCCGTTGGGCACGAGCATTTGACTCCAACATGATTTGGCGGGAGTGTCTTACCTCCATCTGGTTTTAACTTAGGCTAACGTTAACCTCTTTTTCTTGCACCCAAAAAAAAAAGAAAATAATATAAAATAAAAAATAAAAAAGTTGAAATGAATTGTCAACAATATTCTGTCTAAAAGTCATACACTTTCCACCTGCCTACAAATATGTTTAGGCTGGAGAAAATTAAATTTTTTATATATTTTTTTTACTTATTCAATTACGTAACAAGACCGCTCTTGTGCTTTTTTTTCTTTTTTTCCTTTATTTTTTATTTATTATTTTTTTTAAAAATACTTACAAACCGCTTTTTTTTTTTTTTTTTTTTTTTTTTTTTTTTTTTTTTTTTTTTTTTTTTTTTTTTTTTTNGGTTACAAACCGCTCTTGTGCTTTGGTTCCAATTAGTTAGTGAAGGTTGTGTAAAGATCTATACCGTATCTATCTGCATACAATGAAATCCGTTGGATGATGACTCCTATCTAAAATATTAACCAGTTGAAGTATTCCAACTACTATAAAGAATTACACGGTTGAGTTGATTTAATTTGAGCTAAAATAGTTTTTTTGTCCCTTCTAATTTTGAATTTGAATAGTTAAATGTTCAGTTCTTTTTTTTTTAAAGGTCTTAAATGGGCTAAAAAGTCACAATCTATAAGCACAATGTCTGGATTATATCAAGTCAAATGAAAAGCAAAACCAAAAACGAAAAAAGAAAACATGAAAAGGCTGGCAACAACTGCCACTAATACAAAGATAACGTTTCCTGGTCCGGAAGGGTCCGACAAAAAGTCAGTGTCACGGGACAGCAGAAGAGCAGATGCACCAAAGGTAGGATCGACTACACAAATCTGAATGAAGGGTATCCCATCTGGTCCATCCGTATAAGGGTACAAAGGCGGAGAGGAATATCATCACAATAAAGTATATGCCTTTGGGGGGTGGAGGTCCCGATGCCTGTTTGTAGTATTTTTGGGTAGTTGGTAACCGAGTTACCCGGACTCGGGTCGTTCTCAAAGGAAGACTATTCGGACACGGATTCAAGCAACGATCGACTCACACAAGAAAATAAAATAAAAATCTTAAACACTCTATTCGCAATTTGGGATTTGATCAAGCTAAAGGCGACAACTTCAAACTAAACGAGAGCAAGATTCAAACTAACTAGCAAGCAACACCTCAAATTGCAATAAAAAGAAAAATAAAGAGAAAAATAACAAGGTACTCGTAGACCCGAGATGGAAAGAAAACACTCATAGGTTCGAGAACATGCAATCAAGCGATAGTCACTCGTGATCAATTAACCTCTCAATCAATTCTCGCTCACGCAATCAATAACAATATCACATAATCCCTAGCCTACGAGGATGATAGCATAAGCGACTCATGGATGTACCTATCTTAACCCTAGAATAAATCTAATAAATAAAGGCAAGTAAGACTAACGAAATCATGAACCTTAAGCGAAGTCTCCACGTCTCTAATGCATCCACGAGAAGAAATAAGCCGTAAAGTTGTAATCTTGATGGAGAAATATTACAATTAAAAATAGGGCCTTGGAGCCCTTAGAGAGAGAAAGAAAGTTAGAGAGAAGGGAGAGAAAAACTAAGAAGAGAAAAATTTAGCAAATGAGGAATTCCTCCAAAAATACAAAACATAATGTCTATTTATAGCTACACTACAAACACACATTTACTGAAGAAAAACTCGCAGAATAGTGGGAACTCGAGAGCAAAAGGCGGAATTTCGCGGGCTGGAAGGGAACTCGCGAGTGTGGCTTAGGCGCTGGGCAACTCGCGGAATAGCACGGTTTTGCGGGTTCGAAAGAGGTAATGCGCGAGCTGGGGCGCGCATAGGAGAACTCGCGGGCTATGCTCGTTTCGCGGGCGCGAAGTGCTGGATTCGCGGGCTGGCACGGCGTGCAGCAGAGAAACTCGCGGGTTGATGTGCTTTTGCAGGCGCGAACTTGGAACTCGCGGGCACTGGGAGCAGCATGCTGGAAACTCGCGGGTTAGGAGGGATTCGCGGGCGCGAAGTCATTTTCGCGGGCACTGGGAATGGTTCGATGGCCCCTTGATGCTCGATTCGCCATAACTTCGAGCACACTTATCCGATTGACTTGAAACTTCGACCCACGGTTCTCAAATCTCGTTCTCCTCGTCTTGAGATGTGTAAATGGGTGTCACCACACAATTAATGAATATTCTCGGAATGACTCGGAAATGGTTCGTATGACTAGGACATGGTTCGGACGGCTCGGAAACATCTCGGGAATGGCTTGTCTTCCCAAACTCGAATATTGTGGACCTAAACAACACCAAAAAGACAAGAAAAATATGCCGAACCACAAAAACACAATACGAGAATAAAAATGCACAAAACACGATAAAATGGACCGGTCGACACTAAAATGAACCTAAAAACACTAAACTAAAATGCATAAAACACACGAAAATAAGCACAAAAACACAATAAACAATGCCTGCGTAAAAGTCAGCAGAACGGTTTCTCTCATGGAAGATGTGCGAAATCTGAAACCGAATCGTCCGAAGAGTGGCCCTAAACACATGAGCGGATGTTGAATCTGGCATGTGCCCTGATGACCAGGGGTCAAGGGAGTGATAACAGCGGAATCTTCCAACTCTATCCAAATGTGAGAGGCGATCAAGGCTGCAATCTGAAGGCTGATCTAAAGCGCCTGAATCTCCGCGTTGTAGCTTGAGGAGGCTCGAAGAGGGGCATGAAAAGCGGTAATAAGAGCGCCACTATGGTCCCTAATCAGACCCCCACCTCCGGCGGCTCCGGTAAGTCAGTCAAAGGATCCGTCATTGTTTAGCTTAACCCAAAGAGGCTCGAGTCTCAGCCAAACAACAACTCTGGGGCGTGGGTGTTGGACAAGCGGCTGTAGAGGTGGTGCAAAACGATGAGGTGACGTGTAGCCTGTCCAATCTCTCGGCGTGAGCCTGCTCAGAGCGTTGAGGAGAGATAAATGTCTGTCAACCTGCAAATTAATATGTGAACACAAAAAGGTAATATCCTATGTTTCGCATTATTGCTTTCTGTCTAGGTAGACCAAAGGATCAGACAAGGAATAAGGAAGCCTACGTGTCTAGTGTGTGCTCTGTGTGAAAAAAACTCAGCAGCTCAAAGAAGTTATTTGTGGTGGGTAAGGGTATATAGGTGTAACAAGAATAATGCTCCCACACTGTCCTCATAGTCTCACTCTCAGAAAACAGATGGGTGAACGTCTCAGTCTGAAAATCACCGGTCTCAGCACAACAATAACAACGTGGGGGGAATGAGAACCCACTCGTCTACATCACGGTATCAATCGGTAAAGTGTACAGCGGCCCCGAAGAGAAGGTTAGACCGGTCTCCCAGCCATACTTCCCCCCCCCCCCCNNNAAGCCGAGGTTGTAGAGAATTCACCCGAAGATGTAAGTCTCCACCTCATACCGTCCAAACCATCCTCCGAGATGTGTATTTGCTGGATCTCATCTATCTCCTGGTCACTAAAAACTTGCCCCACTACCGAGAATCATCTCTGACCTATCCCTGTCCCATCCCCCATCCGTCCACAGGTCCTTCACCTGCAGAAAGGGAATGTGGGTGACATGTCTAGTACTCGAAAGGGAACCCTCACCAAACCATTATTCATCCTAAAAACTAATGCCCCCTCTCTCAGAGTCCAGAAAATGTACTTCTGAGCACGTCTACCAACCATGGTGAGCTGCCTCCACTGTCTGCTATCACGGGCGGTGGCCGTCACCCTACAGGGCTGGGCAGCGCCTCCAGGACAGTACTTTCGACGAAGATACTGGGCCCAAAGGGACTTACCCTCTCTAAAGCACCACCACATCTTATAAGAGGATGCAGTGACGACGTCTGAAAAATGTCGGATCCCTAGGCCCCCTTCAGAGAAGGGGCGACAAACGGAGTCCCACTTCACCCAGTGGACCTGTCTCCATCTTCGGGAGCCCTCCCTATGCCCCTAAAAATATCGAGTCAAGATCTGATCTAGCTCGTGAATCGTAAACTGGTGGGGGTCGAGGACCGTAAGAAGGTGAAGCGGAAGGGCTCTATGGGTGCTCTTAATCAGAGTAAACCTCTCCCCAAAGGATATGTGTATGTAAGATCAACTGGAGATCCGGTAAATCATCCTCTGCCTGACGTCTATAAAAGGCCATCCGAGAGGTGATCCTTATACAGGAGGCACCCAGGTAGATGATGGAGAGGTCTCCACGCGCAAAACTAGTGCGCTCGTGGACCCAATGGGTCCACTGGTCCGCAATGTGGTGATCCAAGGTGAAAGTGCTCTTTTGCACACTGACAATTAAGCTGACCGGAAACTAAACTATAGTGCCGCAATAGTTGGATAAGCTCAGCCGGACCATTATTATCAGCTCGAGTGAAGATAGTAATGTCATCTGCATAGGAAATGTGCGAGATGGGAAAACCATAGCCACATGTGCTATAGGCCATTCTCGGAAAATTACAAATGAAGTCGTCAAGGCAGCGAGATAAGTAGTCCCACCGCCAGGACAAAAAGGGAGGGAAATAAGGATCCCCCTGCCGAAGACCACGAGTAGAAGGGAAGAAGTCAGTGGGTCTACCGTTAACAAAGACCGAAAACATGTAGTGCTCCACGCACGCTTCCACAAAGCTAATCCAACACTCAAAGAAGCCCATGTGAAACATAACCTCCCTAACTTCCCTGATAAACGGCCACTCGACCCTATCATATGCCTTAGTCATATCTAACTTCAGCACAAGGTTCAGAGTTCGTAACCGGTTCACATGAGAAATGTCATGGATCATCTCCTTGGAAAACCAAACATCTGCGTTCCTTATTTCTAGCAAAAGATACACAGTGAGGATAATTCCTTCATATCCGGCCCATGATATTTTTTGCTCTATTTTTTTTTTTTATTTTTTGCTGGTGGTATTCACAGAATTAATAACCTTTCTGAATATAACACCTATACAATATTCAAAAATCAACATGCAAAAAAAAAAAAAAAAAAGAACTTTCACAACATAATACAAAGTACGTACAATATTTCAGACAAGCAACTACTATTATTTCTTTGTTTGTTTGTTTCTCCAAAGCCCTTAAATTATTGGGAGTCATAATCTCCCTCAGTGCCAGTGGTATCCTCTTCCCTCAACGAAGTCAACGCATTCCCTGTCAGTTGTTCCCTGTACTGCTGCACCACCAGCACCGACGCCGTCTTGAACTCCGGCATGATCAACAGGTTCCCGACCGGCCCAAGCTCCGGACACTCGCAGCCCACGCTCTTCTTGTTGAGCTCCGCCGCCAGCTGGCCCTCCGGAATCCTCCCCACCAGGTAAAGTGTACAGCGGCCAAACGACCGGATGACGTCGACTGCCACGTCAGCGCCGGCCACCACCCGCTCCTCGAACTTGATCGACCCGTCTTTGGATACTTTGCTCTTGAAATCCGAGACAAACTCTTCGTCATCCGACCTTGACTCCGGGCTGTCATCAATGTCGACAGCCACGCTACCCCCCGCGGGACTCGAACCCCGGTCTAGCACGAACCGGACTACGTTAAGGCTGATCCCGGGATGCTCGGCCATGAGGGCCCCGTATGAGAGGGCCTCACGGTCGTCGGGCCCGCCAAAGAACAGGGCCGTGATAGTGTAGTCGACGTTGCTGGCCGAGACGTGGGCCGCCCCACCCAGCCCGCGGTCGATCAGGATCCCGACCGAGCAAGGCGCGTGCTCGAGTACCCTGCGGTTCACGTGCCTCAGCTCGGACCGCGTGGTCTCCAGGTGGCCGTCGAACCTCTGGTGCTTGTGGAAGGGGAGGATGATCATGGAGACACGTTTGCTCTCGGCGCTCGAGCAGATGTCCTCGTGCATGTTGAACATGTGTGAGATCGCGGTCATTGGCCGGATCGAGACCTGTTCGTACATTTTTAGATTATATATATTGCTGAGACTATTGAAATTTATATTATATGATATTTTATCATATAATAGTCAGAGACCTGGCTGAGATGCTCGAAAGTCTCGAATGCGACCTCAATCTGGTTTGAGTCGGCTTTGCCCTTGTTCCAAAAGGGCATCCCGTTTTTGCGGGCCTTGTGGACCATGAGAATGGCGGAGGAGCGTTCGGAGAGCTCGGTGAGGTGCATGGCGTAGACGCGGAGGCCGGTCTTCTTGCCGGTGCCTCTCGAGATCTCCATGAGGTTGATTAAGGTTGGGATGTTCTTGGTGCTGTGGAAGCATGTGAGTATCTCGAGTTGGGCGTTCGGTTTTCTTTTCTGGATGGTTCGGTCCTTGTACTCTAGTCGGGCCATCCGGGCCGGTCTGTAGATGGCCATGACTGTGGGAGTGGTGATGAAGGTGGTGAATAGGGCCATGAGGACCATTATGGCAAATGTTTGGTCATTGAGGACCTGCAAAATGTAATTAAATAATGTTGAATCGATCAATTGTGTGTGTGATTAATCAAATCATGTAGAGTTTAGTTGAAGGCAGGCATATGTATGAACAGATATATTTACCCCACGATCTTTGCCTATGTTGAGGACAATGAGCTCAACCAAGCCTTTAGTGTTCATGAGGAAGCCAAGGGTGAGGGCCTCGTTCAATGGCACCTTACACAACAACGAGACGACAACCGTGCCCACAATCTTCCCGAAACACGCGGTGAATATGACGAGCACGAGAAGCCCCCACGACTGTGCCCCGTGTATCGTGGCCACGTCCGTCTTCAACCCGCTCGACACGAAGTAGAGCGGGAGGAACAACCCGGAGACGAGATCCTCGACCTTCTCCACGAGGGCGCCCGCGAACGGCCCCTCCTTTGGAACAAGCACCCCAAGCACAAACGCCCCGAACAGCGCGTGGATCCCTATCGCGTCGGTCGCCAGCCCGGCTGCGAGCACCGCCGTGAGCGTGGCGCAGACGTAGATCTCGTTGACGGGCTCTCCCTCGGGGCACCGCCGGGCCATCCAGTTGAATACAGGCGGGCCCACGAGGATGCACCCGGTTATAAAGGCGGCCCCGCAGAGGAAGACCCAGAGGGAGACGAGGGGGGAGTTTCCGGTGCCGGAGAGAGCGATGGCGAGGGCGAGGAGGATCCAGGCGGCGACGTCGTTGACGGCGGCGGCGGACATAGCCATGCGGCCGACGTCGGTGGTGAGGAGCTTGAGCTCGGCGAGGATGCGGGCGAGGACGGGGAAGGCGGTGATGGAGAGGGCGACACCCATGAAGACGAGGAAAGGGGCCTGGGAGACGCCGGGGGAGATGGTGGCTCGGAGGGCGAAGGAAGTGCCGATGCCGAGGACGAAGGGGAGGGTGATGCCGGCGAGGGCGATGCAGAGGGCGCGGCCGCCCGTGCGCCGGAGGGATTTGGGGTCGAGCTCGAGGCCGACGAGGAAGAGGAAGAAGAGGAGGCCGAGGTTGGCGATGGTGTCGAGGACGGTAAGGCTGCGTGCGGGGAAAATAGTGTGGAGGTAGGCAGTGTTGCGGCCTAAGGCTGATGGACCAAGTAGAACTCCTCCCTGATTATATATAGCCACGTGGAGGAAAAGGAAAAGTCAAAATTCAAAAAAAGGTTGGATGAAATTGGAAAGTCATGTCGAGTCAGCACAAAACAATTATAATATCATATCCAACAATACATAAACAGACTTTAATTACCACCAAATAATTTGTAGTTTTATGTAGAAATTTTAAGGGATGAAAAGTCAACCAAAATGGTAGAATATTGAATATTCTTGTATGAGGGACTTTAATTACCACCAAATAATGAAGACTAAAAATAACTAAAGGAAAATAACGATCACTCGACAGCTGCATGTACGAGGGACCAAAGAAAATAAAATCACACGATTCATTATATACAAAAGTTGACCTTCTATCACAATTCACTGCATCTTATTGAGAAAAATAGTTTTTTGGTATGTTCATTTCAAAATGTTTTTTAGCCCTTAGAAACACAAGAAACCTGCTTATAAATATGTGACGATTCGTCTCATGATTCGTCTGTCTCGCACAACAATTTGTGTAAATTGAATAGAAAAACTGCGGAAAACACACAAAAGAAAGGGGGAAAAGAAAACTGACGATGATCTCTGCAATGACACGCGGCTGCCTAAGTGGGCGAAGGATGTAGGCGAGGCCCCGGGTGAGCACGACCACCATGCAAATCTGAATGATGAGCAGAGGAAGCGCGTAATGCAGAGGATCATCCCCTTGGAACACCCCGTTTGAGGTTGCCTTCATCGGCTTTGGACATGTTACGCTTGCGTTAACAGAAGCCATTTGTTTTGTTGTTGTTGTTGTTTATAAATTTTTGTATCCTCTGTATTTTTGTAAAAAAACAATATCATATCAGTTGTCAATGAAAACGAAATAATATATATAGAGAGAAAGAAATAGGAGTTTATGCAAAGCATTTTCGGTTAAACTTCTCATATTTTCTATGATTTTGCACAACGAGTAGAATGTATCATCTAAACGTTACGTTGGAATATATTTCCATTAGAATACAAAATTTTCCTTGCAATCGGATACCATATTATCATCGATCAATTTATCCAACCGTATTCAAACCCAAAACACAATTGTTATTGTACCATGCACATATTCAACAATACATGTGTATGTGTTGATATTGATAGAGAGATAGAATATATAGAGGAACCTTGATATATTGGAAAAGACGAAGTAAGCCCGGCCCGGCCCTCACCCCCGCATCACCTCTCTCAAAGTCCCTGCGAATGTCATATAATCTGTCTTCTCCAATTTATCTTAATGAATCTTGACAGAGAAACAATGAAATAAAAAAAAATAAAATAAAATATAAACTATACAGAGAGAGAGAGAGAGAGAGAGAGAGAGAGAGAGAGAGAGAGGTAATAAGGCTAAGATGCCCGTCCGCTTCTTGCGTATTTATAGAGGCACAAAAAAACTATTATTATTAGTGGTGATGAGGATTATATTTTGGGGGTTATAATTTATATGTCAATAATTGTAAGAGACATTATTTAATTGTAGTACTATATCTGGATAAGGTAATAAAGTAAATTTTTTTTTTTGCTTAATTTGGATGGTTTGAATTTAAATGATATGTGTTTGAATTGTTCATGTGAGGAATTTTTATTATTTTACTCTCTAAAACCAAATTAATTAGTGGTGGCTAAGATCTTTGGTATTGGTCTAATCAATCCCCAAAATTAAATTCCAAAGTCAAAAAAAGAAAAAACATTTGAAGAGATTAAAGTATTGAAAATTCTAAATAAATATGTAACTAAAAGATTAGATGAACCTAAAAGTTGATCACAAAATGTACTAGCTAGGAAGAAAACGCATTAATCCAACGATAAAATATTTCAATAGGAATTACATTCGTTAATTCAATTTTATAAGGTTCGTTGAAAATTCCTGACGGATATTCTTAATCACTGAAAAATTTCATTGCAGTTTCAGTCATAATTTGAAGAGTTTATCAACAACACTACATATCTTCAAATGGTTTATATTGCAATTTATTGTGGAATTGATTGTTTCCACCAATAATTTAAATTACTACTGAAATCGTCAAAATTTAACGAAAAATTCATTTCGACATAGTATTTTTAAAACATAAAATTAGGTTATGTACTTTTGAAATGTGAATAGTCAATCCTACTTAAATATGAATACGAAATATGAATATTTAACCCTACTTAAATAATGTCAGGTCTCTTATTCACCGTACTCATGGTCATTAATTAGTATGAAAACGTTATATTTATATAAATATTTTAGTCACCAATCATGAACTTTTATCAAGTAGATTTTGTAAATAAACTGTAAATATTTATAATTTTCTATGTTAGCGGGCACGTTCGAAAATTACGAATGAAGACAACATCAAGATTCAATTATTTAGGAATATTCAAGTATATACCATAGGCCAAGTGAACTAAAAATAAAGATCATGTGGGACTTTCCCCTTAAGGATAATATATAATAATAAAAATAAAATTTTGAAGCTTTGGTCCAAAGTCCATGGATAATAGTCTTTTTTTTTTTTTCAAACGATAGGATAACTATTATTAATCAAAACGCACAAAGTGCGAATAAAAGTACAAAGTTCCCAACGGGAGAATAAAATGAGAGGACTAGTCCGACGACTGCCTAGAATCCGAAACTAGCAACGCTAGAAACCAAAAAAACACACCGACCCCAAAAGGGTAATAATAATAAAAAAACACAAACAACACAACACATAGACCCCAACAGGGCAATACCCGAGCGTCGGACCCCAACAGGGTAATACCCGAGCGTCAGACCCCAAAAGGGTAATAAAATGACACTCGGGCGCGAAGTAACACTCGGGCGCACAAAGGCCAAGCGACCCAAACCAAAACCACATAAACTAGAACACAACAACACGAAACAAACATATACTAAACAACACAACACAAAAACACTTACTAAACACACTAAAACTAAACACACAAAAGCCCTTCCCACAGCGAGAAGCCACACCGAGCACGCCCGTGGCAGAGCTGAGCCCAAAATCTCAATCCAGAAACTGCAGGAGCGCCTAACTGAATCGAAGACACACAGGTTGGCCCAACCCTCGTCCAGGCGAACAAACCCCACAACAACCTGGAGAAACAACATCCGGCCAAACCAACGACCTCAGGCACAACCTCAGGCCGATGATAACCGGCAACTCCGAACCAGAGCCAACAACCCAGCCCGAAAGTCGCCAACGACCGCCCTCCAACCCACAGCCCCAACCCAAAACCATCCATCGCCGGCGACCTCTGGAGCAAGAAGGGAAGACGCAATTGGACCAGATCTCGTTCTCCACCCAAACCCTAATCGGATTTAGGGTCGCAGCCCCCTCCGAGCGAGCACAAGAGGGCCACCGAAATGGAAAGAACCGGAGGAGAATCGCCCGCCTGAACCTCACTTCCGGCACCAGAGACGGCCACCGGAAAAACAGGCACAACACTCTCCCCGGCGGAACAGCTCTCCCTCCCCCGTGCGGTGCTACTCTCGGAGACGGGCTGCGAGGCTCAGGGGAGCCACCACCGAGCACTCGCCGCGCCCAAACTGGGGAAGGCGACGTCTAGATGACGGAAAACTCGAGAGATCTGAAGACGAGGAGCGAGAGAGAAGCGAGAGATCTGAAGACGAAAAGTTCTCTTGGAATCCCATGGATAATAGTCAACAATCAATAATGGGCATTGGACAAATATTTAAAATTCCCGCTCGTAATTGATAAGATCAATTTTGGGTAAATTATACACCAAAAGTAATCAATTTTAAAAATATTAATTGTTAGGAAATATTTATTTCCTATGTATAATCTAATTATAGGCAACATATTAAATACAATTATATTATATTAGCTATTTAATTAATTAATGGACTCAATTAAGTGATCTAAATTAAGTAGAGTTCATGGGCTACATAAATTGATATGGACTTAATGAGTGGATACCTAATATTACTAGGGTTAGGTGATAATGGGTGGCTTACCCTAGTAGTATATATAGACCCTCTTGGTTATGGTCCCCAACACACTAAATCAAACACAGTTTTCTTTTCTCCCCATCTAAAAGAAGACGACGGTCCCATATGAGGAATAAGGCGATTTAGTTGAGGAAGACCATAATACCAGTTGATCCAATTAATTAATCGAGTTCGTGTACCGCAAAAGAAACTCAATGGATCCAGGTATTTCTAATAATCTTTCAGATCTAGAGCGATGTTGATTTTCATAGAATTAAAGCATGTTCTAGGATAATTGTTATTGGATTTATATTATGTGATTATAAATTCCATCAAGTGGTATCAGAGCAGTCATCGACTGCTAGATTTGGATTATTTATGTATTTGTGTTTATACGTTGCTGCTTAGAATTATTGAACACAGTAGAATAAAAATTGTGTTGCCTTTTGATCACGCCTTGCAATTCGTGTCCAATTTTTAATTATTAGGCGTGTATTCTTGATGAATGGATCCAGATTTGTGCACTTGCTTTGTTCTGTTCGTGATTTCCAATTCACTTGATTTGGGTTTTGAAAATAATATTCATCATTAATGGTGTATATGTGCACATATATGTTAGACTACCTATGCGATTAATTTTAAAAGGATGAAAGCCTAAATTTGTTTTGGACTTAATTAAATAAAAGTCTAATTTGGTTTATAGACTTTTATTTGAATTGAATTGGGGAGACTTTTATGTCGTTTAATTAAGCTAAATAATTTTATGTTTGCTCAATTAGTCTGGTAATTTTTTAATATAATCAATCAAACATCATGCTGCCATAGCAGCCTCTGTGTGTGGAGAGCGATTTTATTAAAGTTACATAGATGTCGTATGTTATTATTTATGTGTTCTGTGATCAGCCCATAGGTAGACACAGTTTGGCCAAATAATTACACACATGTGATGATAAGTATGTGATAATTTACGGTATTTTCATGTGAACATTAGTCGATCCATAGATAGACTTTTGTTTGACAGAACTTATTATCAATGCTTGATTGTTACACCAAGATTACCACTGCAGTTAATTTTCTGTCCGTAGACGAGATTAATGTTGCGCTAGGTGTCTTGAGATGGGTCCCCAATTTGTATTGTTTGTTCATGCATAATTTGTTTTATGTTATGGATATTTTGTGAGTATGCTTATATTGTTCTATATTGTTTTAGTTGCTACAGCTCCAAATGTTTCTGCTCAAATTAACAACATCCCAATGCTTAGCGGGATGAATTTTAAGAATTGGAAAGAAACCGTGGAAATTGTTCTCGGTTGTATGGATTTGGATCTGGCACTTCGGTCTGAGCGCCCTACTGCTACGGCTAAAAACTCGAATGAGGTTAAAATTGAAAAGTGGGATCGCTCAACCGAATGTGCATGATGATCATGAAGCGCTCCATTCCGGAAGCGTTTCGGGGCTCCATTGCTGAGAGCGAGAGTGCCAAACTGTTCCTTGAGGCTGTTGAACAATACTTTGCCAAAAATGAAAAAGCGGAGACGAGTAGTCTTTTGGCTAAACTCGTTTCCATGAGGTACAAATGCAAAGGGAACATAAGGGAGTACATTATGGAAATGTCAAATCTCGCATCAAAACTTAAGGCACTAAAGTTAGAGCTTTCTGAGGAATTGCTCGTGCATTTGGTTTTGATCTCTCTCCCTGCACACTTTGGGCAATTCAAAGTGAGTTATAACACTCAAAAGGACAAATGGTCCCTTAATGAGCTTATATCT